CCTCCTGTTGTCCCTGGCGTGTGCTCAGCTCGTGCTTTTGCTGAGTAACGGGAGGGAGGGGGGCGGAGGAGGCGGTGCCTGAGCGTTTCATTGAGAACTGGATGCGCTTCATTCTTCCCGCAGACCTGATGCTGCCAGGAGTTGTGGTGCCACCTTCTGGCCTCCCTCAAGTGCAACGGGGCACGCTCTGTGCTGTCACCTTGCTGGGAAACAGGTAAGGGGATTCTCCAACCCAAAATGTGTCCAGCAACTAAAAATCAAGTAAAGGGTTTTGAGGAAATCAAAGCAGAGGTGTTGGCGTGCATTTGATGCACTGGGAACCTCAGCAGTGGAAAACACAGCAGGAAAAAAAAATCTTCATTTTCTGGGTTAGGATATCTTTGAGCTGAGGTGGGAAGCTTTGTAAATTGGTTCTTTTGGACCGATTTGGACCAATGTTTTTAACAAAAGATTGTATTCTGCACAATTTTCTTTGTGTCTATGTGGAAATTCTCAGTGAGAGAGTGCTAAAGCCATTGTTTTCTCTCTCTGCTGGTCTCTTCTGGCAGTGCATGTGCTTCTGCACTAATTTATTAAAGCAAGAATGTGTCACTGCACAGCCTTCACTTCATCAAGGCTGCACTTACCCTCGGGATTCTTTGGGAAACTTCACATACCAGAAAGATAACCAGAAGATATGTAGATGCTTGAAAAAACCCCAATTTGTAAAGAACAAGAACGTTACAAAATAAATTCAATCTAACAATAGCACAGCATGTTTGTGTTGTCCTGCTCCAACATTCCTTTCTTTTCCCAGAGCTCCTGTGGCAGTTGGAGTTGCCACCATGTCCACAGAGGAGATGCTGGCTGCTGGAATGAAGGGGAAGGGCTTTGCTGTGCTGCACACTCACCTGGATCACCTCTGGTGGGTAACTGCCAGGTCTTGGGGAAAATGTGCAACAGGTCTCATGTGTTTATGAAATCCAAATCTGTGCCCCACTAGGACTGATCTGTCAGGCCAGCTTACTGAATTATTTGGGTACAGGACCTTGACTTAGAATTTATGGAGGAAGATGAGTTCAAAGTAAATATTACAGTTCAGATATTGCAGAAAAAGACGTGTGCAGGTGCCAGTGCCTTTATTCAGGGTGACATCTGTTCACTGTCCTGTGGTTCAAAGCAGCAAAAGGAAAGCTGTGTTCTGCTTTTTCTTCCTTTTATAGGGAATATGGTGACAAATCTTCTCCTCCTACCTTAGCTCCCTTGGTAACGGATTGTGCTGCAAAGGAGAGGGCTGGAGACGAGGAGGAGCTGCAGGGGAAGGAGCCAGAGCAGCACCTGGACATCAGGGATTTGAGCCTGAAGGACAGAGACACTTGTGCAGAACTGGGGAAAGAGGAGCTCCCTGAGAACAGAGCTGCAGAACCAGCTGAGGATGGCAGCACAGAGGAGCAGCACGAGGCTGAGGACAGCAGGACCCCACAAGGTATTTTGGGATCCCAGTGAAACCAAACCATGCCCCTTTGATTAGCTGAACCCACAGACAACTCACTGCCTACCTGTCCTGTTCTCTCCCTGCAGAGCAAATGGATGCATTGTTTAATCAGTGCTTTTTCCATGCCTTAAAATGCAAAGTAAAGAAGTCAGATCTCCCTCTGCTCACCAGCACATTTCTAGGCAGCCACATGGTCTCCTGCTGGTACGTGGGAAGGAGATGGAATTGGGATTTGCATGCTGGGATTTGGTCTTTAAAATGTGGAGATTGTGTGTGATATTTAGGAAGAAGGTTTTGAGTAAAAAATGAAATCCACTTTTTATCTAAAGTTACACTCTGCCATCAAGTACTTTGATCAAACACAATCCTTATATTAAATATATAAAAATCCTTATATTAAATACTTGGATGTAAGGATTGTCCAGACCTGGATTTGCACTTTAGAGCCAATTTGACTTGGCTGACATTGGTTTCACCATGGTTTAATCACCTCAGTGGCTGCTTGCCTGCCCACAAGAACATCAGCACTAATTTCACTCATCACATTCTCTTTATCAGCTTTGGAGTAATTTTTTCTCTGTATGATTTGTATTCCCACTGTTAAGAAACTTCTAGCATAAGTAGCAAGATTTAAGAAGAAATGAGGGGTGACTTATAACTAAAGAACTTTTAAAAAATCCATTTATAGCCCTGCTGGAAAACAACTGGACATAAAGAAATCAAGCTATAAGAAGGTGAGATTTTTCTATTGGTTTGAGTGGTTTTGTTTGAATTAATTTTAATAAGAAACAGAAGAAGAAAGAAAGTTTAAAACACGAGCAGGAGTTTAAAATGCTTGACTCCACATTTCTGCTTCCTTCAGTTCTCTAAATTCCTGCAATGCATGCAGCACCAGAGGATCTTACAGGTGAAGGAGCTGAGCAAAGGTGTGGAGAGCATCGTGGACGTGGACTGGAAACACCCAGAGTATGTAGAATATCCCAGTCTTTAAAAGAGCTGGGGGTCCCTGAAAGAAGGGAGTGCAATCTGCTGCTTCCAGCTCTCTTTCCATCCCTTTTACTCACACCAAACAATTCTTGTGGCAGCATTAAAGCATTTGCAGTGCCTGAAGGATTTTCCTCAGCCTCTGCTGCCCAAGACAGCAAAAGTGAAGACAGAGAACAAGTGTACCATGCTCCTGAAATCATTCCACTCTACGGGGTCTCCACAAAAATGATCCCACTCTTTCAGGAATCTGGACACAGGTAAGCACAAAAAAAAAAAAAAATGAAGAGAGACCAACAAAGCTGCAGTTGCTGTTTCTCTCTTAGTGCCAGAACCCAACACCCAAATACTTGAGTTAAAAATTCTCTTTGTCTTCAGAAAAGGCAGTGTCCTCTCAAGCAGTGAGGTGAGAAACATCATCATTAATTATGTGAAGAGTAACGAGTTGGTTGATGAAACAAACAAAAAGTGAGTACAAGTGGAAGTTTCCCTCCCCTGCTTCCACAGGAGAGGCTGAAATTAGAGATAAAAAAGTGACCTGGTTTTCTCCTTGTGTTTTTGTTTTGTAGCTTTGTAAAGGTGAATGCCATTCTGTGTGACTGCCTGTTGGATAAATCAGAGCAGGATGAGATCTCACACCTTAAATGGGATGAACTCTTGAGCAGGTGATTGTTCTCTCAATATCCCTTCCCAGAACTGCACAGATTTATTGCCTGCAACTCCAACCCCGTGGTGAGAGCTGCCTGACTTGTAATTTCCTGGAGATAAATGGGAACAAGATGAGATGTCACACCTTAAATGGGACACTCTGTGAGCAGGTGCTTGTTCTCAATATCCCTCCCCAGAATGACACAGATTTTTGCATTGTCCAGGTGCCTGGAACGACTGCAGCCCTTTCACCAGGTGACATTTTCTGGACAAGAACCCGTGGTGAGGAAAGGAAACATCGAGCCCATCGACATCAGCATAGCACAGAGATCATCAAACAAGAAGGTGAAAAAAGACAATTACAAGAGGGGGGTTGAGCAGATGAGATCCCAGATCCTGAGGGCAGCTTTGGCATCATCATTAAACGCTCTGCAGTGACATTTCCAATCCTTATTAACCCTTCAGTAGTTATGTTTCCAATCCTTATAACCCTTCAGTAGTTATGTTGCCAATCATTATTAACCAAAAGTGATGTTTCCAATCATTATTAATCATAGTAGTGATGTGTCCAATCATTATTAGCTCTCAGCAGTGACATTTCCAATCTTTATTAACTCCTTCCCAGTGCTGTTGCCAATCATTATTAACCCTTCAGTAGTTATGTTTCTAATAATTATTAACCCCTCAGCTGTGATGTCTCCAGTCCTTACTAAACCCTCAGCAGTAATGTTTCCAATCATTATTAAGCCCTTAGCAGTGATGTTGCCAATCATTATTAACCCTTCAGCAGTGATGTTTCCAATCATTATTAATCCAGGAGGGATGTTTCCAATCATTATTAAACTCCACAGGTGACAATTATCAAGAACCTTGAGCTGTATGGTCTGGACCCACAGTGTGTGGCCAATACCCTCCAACAGAAGGTCCAAGCCAGTGCCACCATCAGCCCAGCACCAGGAGCAAAGGACAGAGTCCAGGTCCAGATCCAAGGCAACCAAATCCATCATCTGGCCAAGATGCTGCTCGGTAAGAAGATTCTGCAGCTGGGCTGGTTGCAGCAAAACTGTGCTTTTAATTCTTATTTAACTCTTCCTTATGTGAAGTGAGCTCTTGGTTGTGTTGCAGAAGAATATCAGCTACCTCGGAAATACATCCAGGGCCTGGAGAAGGCTCCAAAGCTCGGCCGCAGGAAATAGGAGACAAATCTGCTGCAGGGATTGCTCAGCTCTCAGTGTCTGTACAAATGTTTGCTGCCAGCAAATCAAGGATCATGTACAGGCCCTGCTCATTCCACAATGAGTCCTGGATGTTTACAAGGTCTGCAGTTCACCCAGATAATAATATTGCTCCAGGTGTTCATTTTTCATAAAAATAAAAAGCTGAATAAACCCCTTGGCACTATCCTTCTGTGATTTTTCTTGTGGAAATTCATACTGAAGCACTGGATGCTACAGTGGCTTTTGGGTAGTTTAACATTTCTTGCTTTGCATCTTTGATCAAGGATGTGGAATAAACCTCCAGTGAAATATGAGAAAAATACACTCCAGTGTGTTCTGCCATTGAGTAAAACCCACTCTGGTTTAGATTTTATCCTTCTAAACATTTCCAGGCATTGAACTCAGACAGAATTAACTGTAGTTTGTATTCTTTTTATATATAAAAATACATTTTAATGTATGACATGAGCTGTAATTTATCACAGGTAGCAGTTCTGTCTGCCCCAGCTAAAATATTAAATTAATGGAACACTGGTCAGGTCTTACAGGATGTTCTTTAGCTCTTCAACAGTAGGTTGGGAAATTTAAATTCACTGCTAGAAGGATTCCTATATTTCCCTTTAAACTTAATCCACTGGAGTTCCATAGGAGGGCACCAGAAACAGAAGGCCAAGAGATTTCTTTAATTACTGACAGTTTTATTATCATTGTCTCTTACACTGTCTGCATATGAATAGTTCCAGAACCTTCAAAAAAAGCTGAGAGTGAGACATTTTGTAAAAATGCCATAGAATCACTAGGGAGTAGTAAAAATAAATTACAGCATTGCAAAAATGCATTTCACTTTGCCATAGAAGCTCTACTATTCCATTCTATACACATTATTTTACAGGTTTTACAGTAGCCATGGAAAATAAACTCACACGACCTAGGCGAGACAATTGCTAACCAAAGGCACTGCCAACAGGATTTTGCGCTTAAAGACGGGGCAAATACTTCTAAAAACAGCTCAACTGACCCATGAGAATTTGATTTTCAGCACCCACCAACTCTTCAAATGCCCCTCAAATTGAAAAAAAAAACCAAACGAGCGAGCCCTGCTGGTGGCAGGAGGTTTTCAGCAGCATCCACAGTGATTGCATACGAAGCCATGCCTTCTACAAACTGTCAAAGACATGCTGGGGCCAGGAAGGGAGAGGGGACACTCACCAAAACTCGCTGAAAAGAATTCAAAAAAGGAAACCTGCACAACTTTTAGCCAGAAAGAAAAGGGATTTTCAAGCCAAGCGTGTGGCTCTTCCCTCTGAGAGCCACTGGCAGTTTTTACAGCGTTCTTCCCCACGGTGGAACTGAAGTATTTATACGGTGCTGTCAAGGCTCAAAGCACCAGATAAACGGTATTGAAATGACTCCACAAGTGAACAGTGAAGTGCTAAGCCTGCTTGTAGCTGGACCGAGAGCCCCAGAGCGTGGCAAGTGCTGCTCTGTGGCTGCCAGCAGTTGTTAAAGGTCGTTGGGTGTTGAGTACAGTACAGCTGGAGGCTCCTCTGCACCACAGAGCAAACCCTCACTGCTGGCCACAACAGGAGCTGCAGCTGAGCTTGGCACAAAGTGGCTTTCACACCAACCGAGGGTCCAAGTGATGCAGTTACTCTCATAAGGTTTAGAAACAAACATACTCAAAATCTGGAAAATAAAATAATCCCAAGCAATCACCTTCCAGAAAAAAAACCAAACCAGTTCCTCATCCCTGCCCGGACACAAGGGGATCATCACATCCGTGCTGTGGGACAGGAGGGACAAGGCCTCTGCACAGCTTCCTCCTTCGCCCAAATGCAAAGTTTTCACACTTAAGGGAAAAAAAAGGCACTGAGGTAAATTTGAGAGTCCTCCCTGTTCCCCAATAGCCTGCTGGCCCTCCTCGCCCTGGGCACAGGTGGGGTCACAGCAGCCACAGTGAGCTCCAAGGGCTGCTCATGAGCACACCGACCCCTTTCCCTGCTCCTTCCCACTCCAGCAGTGACATTCCCTGTGCTGTGAACAGAGGGAGGGCTGGCCCTGGGTGTGCAGCGTGCTTGGGACCAAGCACTGAGGGTAAACATGGGGCCCATCCTCTCCCCAGGGATCCCTGGAGCATTCCCAGCCCAGCAGCGATTCCTCAGCACCAGGGACCGAGCCTGCAGCTCCAGGATCTGCTGAGGGATGCTCGGCCTGGTGGGAGCCCTGAGACAGGCAGAGAGAGACTTGCTGTCCTCTCCTGACTCCACAGAGACAGCAAATCCTGGGAACAGCACCAGTTGAGAGTGGCGAGGGAGAACAGGGCACAGGGAGGGTGTGACAGGGACAGCAGGGCTGGGACAGCACTACAAGGAGCAGGAGGAAGCACAGGAGAGGTGAGCAGAAAGCATCCAAGGACAGGAATTCCCTTACTTGGTGCCACCTCCACCCCCAGCCCTGGATGGGGCTCCTCTCCCTCGGGGCCAGGCACATTCACAGCTCAAAATCTGATTTGTGAAGGGTTTTGAGTTTTCCTGGGTTCCTCTGATGGACACGTATTGCTAAACCTCCAACACTGAACCCTCAGCCTGTGCCCCGACCATCACCTTTACACTTTTCAAACAGAATTTCTGGAAACATAGGTCCCAATTCCTACAGAGTAGAGAACTGGTGAAACACTGGCTAACTTAGCTAAGCATCAGGGACAGTTACTGTAATTCAGCTCTTTTCAAAATCAGAAGTCAAATAGAATCAAAACGAATGATCTTCCTGGGAATTACTATTACCAAGTTGCAGTAAGATTTACTAACAGACTGTTGGGGTGTTGCAGCTGCCTTGGTGTCATAACCTGGCATTTCCCTGTCTGCCTGAGCCCTGAACAAGTCCAGGGCTTGGTTAAAGCTGCAACACCCACGTGGCTTGGTGCAACAACCTCCTCCCCTTTCCCTGCTGTTTCCTGTGCTCTCCTTACGAAACCAGAACTGGGCCACGAGGGCACTGTGGGCCACAGCACCTCCAAACAGGAACAAGCAGCTCGCTGGGAGGAGCAGCAACAGCAGGAGCTGCCCTGCTCAAAACTTCAGCCAGCAGATGGGTCCTGTTGGGTGTCACACCGAGAATTTTCCACGCAGCCTCTCCAGAGGGTGGCACGGCTGGAAAGCCAACCAGCAGCTGTGTTTGCTTTGTTGAAGCTGTTTTTAAAACAGGCTTCCCGTTCTTGGACTGGCTCTGGTCCTGGGAGAAGAGGTTTCAGAAGAAGAAAATGCAATAGGATCACTTTAGGGGCGCTGGGAGCCAGTCCTTATGGAAGATTGAAGAGGGAGAATGACTACTAAGGTGTCCTGAGAAGTCTTTTCATTTAAAAACAGTCTCTAGCTTAGTCTGATGCCCAGTGCCTCCTGAGGGTTATCCAGGTTTGCCTCGGGCTTCTTTCAGGGTCTGTTGCAGTCTCTGTTTGAACCTCTCGTACTTCCTGTGCACTTGCTGGATTTTCTCCTTCTCTTCTTTGTCCAGGATCATCAGGAAGTTCTGCAGCTCTGGGATGGAGAACGCGTCCCACTGCAAAAGCAGCACAGAGGCAAAGTGAGCACACACCTGGTGGGCTTTGTGGGTTCTTACCTCTGCATCTGTGAGGAGGAGCAATAAAATACATTTAAATGTGTCTGATCTCCAGGGATTTTAACCTCATGTTGTGAGAGAGATGGGATAAGGGGCTACAGCATGAAGGACTGTCCCAATCCTCCCACCCCACAGCAGGGGAAGCAGAATCCTGCAGGATGCAGCAGCTCCCAGCATTTGCTTCACTGCGGTGAGGAGCAAAATTTCAACCAAAACCTGTGAATTTATTGTCTGAGTGTCTCTGGCTTTTACTTAAATTAGTGGATTACTTATAACAGTGCTCAGCTAATCTAATTAGTGAGGATTAACCTTGGGGCGGCACTGCTGGGTTCCATAAACAGATTATGGAGTGGCCATCAAAAGTGGCCTCAGCATTTTCACAGCTCAAGTCTGAATTGTTTTAAAAAGCCCAGATCACAATAAAAGACCAACCCAGGCCTCTGCAGCATCTCCCAGCTCTGCCATGTGCTCCACATTCGTGTGAGAACCAAGGAAAAGTCACCAACGCACCTCAACTTCCCCCGTTTCGTTTTCCTTCAGCACAAAGCTCAGCACATCCGTGTCAGGGCCCGCCAGCAGCCGCAGGTACAGGGGGTACTCGGTGAGAGGGAGCTTCTGGAGGAGCACTGCAAGGACAGCAGACACCCCCAGTGAGATCAGAGCTGCCAGGGCACAGGGAGCTCAGCTGGAGCATGGAACAGGATGCTCGGGATCACAGGGCTCTATCACACATTCGTAACAACCCCTGTAAGGTCTCAGCTGGTTTCAACCCCTTCTGAAAACAATTCCCCGTTAACCTACGCAGCATCACCTCCTGCACGACACCCCAGTGAGTCCTACAGGACACACAGAAGCCAAAATCACCACCCCAGGGAGAGCAGGCAGGCGCCAGGCCCCGAACTCACCTTGCCCCTCTTTCCGCATCTCCTTGAAAAGCGCAAACTTCTGGGGGTTATCCACCACCATGAACTTCTTCAGGAGCCCCTGGATCACCTCGCTCACCGTGGTCGTGCTGCTGATGTGCAGCTGCTTGATGGCATCGAGGGGCAGGTAGAAGGAGGTTCTCTTGTCCGTCATCTCTGCCAGGTTCACCTCTTTGAGGGCATCGTAGATGGACTGGGGCCGGATCCCGGCCGGCACCGTCACCGGGCGCCGCAGCTTCAGATGCACCTTGATGAAGCCTGTGTACGTGCCATCCTCGTTCTGGGGCAAAGCACACAACCATCAGGCTCCAGGCAGCTTCTCCAGACCCTTTTTTTCACCACAAGAGGCTGGGGGGGGAGGTGACAGCAGGAGCTGGCCCTGCTCTGGTGTTGGAGTTAGTAAGTCAGGAGTGTCTCTGAATTTTTCAGAGAGAAATCAGAGTGTAGAGATTGAATTAAAGCCTTTGGATAGGTTGAAGTATGTTAAGCTGCTCACACATAAATAGAGGTGCCTACCTACCTTAGTGTTCCTGCCATCATTTTTGTCTGTGTTAGTTCTGCTTATAATATCACTGTCAACTATAGCTGGCCTGAGTGCTAACACCTCTGTAGAAATATATCCATTACTTCTGATTTCCTCAGCTACTTAATTTTACAGTCCATAAGACCACATAAGTCTTTTTGCTTCTTCTAGGATGTCTTATTAATAACTGCTTGTAGATTCTTTTCACAACAAATATTGAAAGTTTTAGTATAAGCAAGGAAGTAAGTAAGTAGAATGGGTTTTAAGTGCTTTTAGTAAGTAAAAGGTCTTAAATACCAGTGTAAAAGTTCGAGTTCTAATGAAAGTTAAAAAACATTGTCTTTGATACTAGAGTTCCGTGGAAGCTCCCAGAACATAGTTTTAAACACAATAAAACAATAGTAAAAATATTGCTTACATTTTTTAGACAGAACAAAATAAACCATATATGTAGTTTATACATAGCCTGGTGTGCTAAGAAACTAAAATTTTAATAGATTAAGAAGTGGTGGTCATAGTTTGTGTCTTAGCTTGTTGGAAAGTTTCTATATAAGAACATGCTCTAGAGAGAGCTGCTGCTTTTGCTTTTTACTCTTTGCCATTGCTTTTGCCATTTACTTTTGCTTTGCTTCTACTTCTATTTGGGACTTTATACCAAAACTTAGCATAAACTTTAGTACCTGTGACTTTTGCTTTCAAAACTGATGTTCTTCTGCAATAAACAACTTTATAACAACTATTAACTGCTTAGCTCATTAAAGAAAACAACCTGACAAGTTGGGTGCCTGAGAGCACCCCAAGTACCAACCTCACACTCTGAGACTTCCAGCGTTTCTCATTAATCATGGCAAAAATACCCAGTAATTTCAGGACAGTCACTACTGATTTTCTCTTGGTAATGACTCATCCCTTCCTCTCCACTGTGGGATCTTGTTTGATTTCAAACCAGCCCTGCTACGAGGCAGTTATGGAAATTCCATTACATGGAATTTGTAGTTGCACTTAATATGGATTTGAAACCCCTGGTTCAGCAGGATCTCCCAAAATTATTCCTCATGTTTTTTTCCCCATTTAAGGGATTCTCACACGTCCATGTAACAAATCGTCCCTGGACATCAGCTGATCCCACCCTCAGCTCCACAAAAATGCAGGAATCAGGAGAAAATCCTGACTCTGCACAGTCAGTGGTGAGGGCAGAGCATCTCTCTCTAGAAAGGTTTTGTGTTCCTAAACCCACTTCCAACAGCTGCTGAACTGCAGCCTGGTTCTTCCACCATGGCTCACCCACCTGGGACAAGGCTTTCCTGGCAACTCCTTGTGGCAGCAGGAAGGGATGGAGGCAGGGAGGGGTTACCTGGGGTGCCAGTGACACTGGAAAGCCAAGCAGGAGAAAAAGCAGCTTGACAGCCACCCTCCCCCAGTGACACCTTCCCCACAGAAACCAGCACCAGACTCTGTGTGTGAGGGGAAACCAGCCCAGTACGTACCAGTTTCATCAACAGGCAGTTGGTGACCTTTGCATTGTACTTTTCAATCTTCTGTTTGATCTCCTGGACCGTCGGAGGCTCGGGTTTTTCTTCTTCTACCGTTTGTGTCACATTCTGCAATCACAAGAGTGGGGCTTTAGCTGCTTTGTGTGTTGGGTAACACTCCATCTGTTCAGCTCCACGTTTTCCTGGGAAAGCAGGAAGGGATCCTGCACAGGGATGGAGCAAGGGGGGATGGTCCCTGAGTGTGCAGGATGCCACATCCCAAGCCCAAAGCACCTCTGACACCAGGGACAGACAGTGGAGGGCACCACGAAATGCACCAGGTGGTGACACAGGGCAGCAAAACAGCCCAGTACAAACCAGGACAAAAATTCCAGCCTTTAAAACTCACTTCCAAAGCAAAGCCACCTGCACCTGTGAGCATTTCGTTCCTTCTTGCAATGCAAGAAGAAAAAAATCCCATCCTATTTCCAGTATTCACAGCTCTGACTCCCCAAAACTCAAGCAGCTTCCAGTGGGTTCACCCAGGCAGAGCCTGGAGTTAAATCTCTCACTGCTCTTGTCCAAAGCTTGGGAAATTACAGCTCAGAGCAATAAAAGCACACGAGGAGCAGGCTGGCAGTGTGACTGATAATAAATCAGGCACTGCAGGGCCAGTCCAGGCACCCCAGCCCGTGTCAGAAACTGCTCAGTGTCCCTGTGGGCTCACCCAGAGGGGGACAGAGGCTGCTGCTCACCCAGCTTTGGGGCAATTTCCTCCAAAACCAACACATCTGACCTGTAGGTGGGCTCTACCCATGGAAATGTCACTAATGAATAATCACAGAATCATTAAAGTCGGAAAAGATCTCTGAGATCGAGTCCAGCTGTCAACACAGCACCATTAAACCATGTCCCCAAGTGTCACTTCCAGGGATGGTGACACCACCACTCCCCCGGGCAGCCTGTTCCAACACCTGACCACGCTTTCATGAAGAAATTGTCACAACTATCCAGTCCAAACCTGCCCTGGCTCCCCTCCAGCCAGGAGGGCAGGTCTGCTGTACAGCCCTGCCTGCTTTATCTGCTCCATCTGCAGCAAACAAGCCTCTGTGTGTCTTGGGCAATGCTCAGTGGGCTGGATCTCAGAGCTCTGCTGCCTTCCCAGAACTCTCCACCTTCCCTGGTGACAGCCTGGGAATGCATTTTGCCCAGATTTTATGTGGGCTTGCTCAGAAGTTGGCATTAGCAGGGAGCAGAAAGTGTGGAGGGATGTGCCATCAAGGCTGGGAAGGCTCAGAATGAAAACTGTAACCTCTGAGAAGGAAAAAAAAAGAAGGGGGGGAAAAAGGCAGCTTGGGGAGCAAAGCTTTTCTCTTCCCAGCCAGCCCCAGAGCACACAGGACAAGGACACAGCAGAGCTGTAAATCAGCCAATATTGCCCAAGGCTACCCATGGTATTTCTTTCAGGAGGAGAATGAAGCAGAGGACAAACTGAAGCCGTGGCTGCAATCTGGCAAGGCAGCTGCAGTGCTGGGACTGGGGAGCCCTGGATTCACTGAGGCCATTCCCCAGTGACACTTCATGATTTCCCAATTTCCAGAGCAGCAAACCCAGGTGGAGCAGGGGACACCAGTGACACTGGGGTGCAGCCTCCTGGGTCACTGCAAGAGAGGGAGAGGGGCTTCAGCCAAAGGCATGGAGTGACAGGACAAGGGGTGATGGCTTTGAACTCAAAGAGGGGAGATTTACATGAGATACTGGGGAGAAATCCATCCCTGGGAGGGTGGCAGGCCCTGGCACAGGTGCCCAGAGCAGCTGTGGCTGCCCCTGGATCCCTGAAGTGCCCAAGGCCAGGCTGGAGCACCCTGTGACAGTGGAAGGTGTCCCTGCCCATGGCAGGGGTGGCACTGGATGAGCTTTAAGGTCCCTTCCAACCCAAAGCATCCTATGGCAATTAAAGCAAAGCTTTCCTGGGTTATTTGAGACCTGCACATAAACATCCCTTTATCAGAACTCCCCATCTGTCAGAGTCCTTTGGCTCACACTGCATCAAGTCTTGGCCACACACAGGTGCTGGGCTGGCAGGGGAGTCCTTAAAAATCATCTTTAGAAATCATGCTGAGGGTTGAGATTTTGAAAGCAGCAAGATGGAAAAGGAAAAAAAAATAAAGAAAAACAACAAAAACCCCATCCCTTCCCTATAAGTTAACAGAAGATGAACTCTCAGAAACCCTGCACTTCCTCATGTCACAGCACTGAGACAGGCACAGCTGTGCTGCCCCTCACCAGGGCTGGTCCCCACCCCAACCACGCAGTCAGAGAGGGCAGGGGACCCCCAGGATTGTCCCCTCCTGCACACAGAGAGGTGCAGAGCTGAGGGCATCACAACATAACCCATGGCACAAACACAGCCCAGCATAGAGAGCATCCCTCCATCCCACCATCCATCCCTCCATCATCCATCCCATCATCCATCCATTCCTGCATCCATCCCTCATCCAGACACACAAAGTGGGTTTTGCTTTTGGCAAAAGCAAACCCAGCAGCTCTCCCTGTCCTTGTCCCTGCAGTTTTCTCGTGCCCAGGTCCCTCCCCTGTGTGATGTTCCCAGCTGAGGGACACAGCTCGTGGCAGCAATTAAGAGCCAGGGAGCAGCTCGGTTTCCATGGAGGGACACGGCACAGCAGGGCAGCAGGAGCCTGGAGCGCTGCCCCAGGGCCTGGCAGCAGGCACGGGCAGATGAGGAAGATTTTGGCTTCCAAGAAACCCAAACCACTCACAGCAGGAAGGGGCCTGGCTCAGGAGCACATCACCGGTGTCACACGATGTCACCTCACTGCACACTCTGTCACAAACCTGTGAGAGCTGTGGTGTCCTGCCTTCCCCACACTGCACCTGTACTCAGGGGTACCTGCAGCCTGCCCAGCCCCTCTTCCTCCCACACCCTCCCACTCCAGGGAAAGAAAGCTTTGATCATTTCTATTTCTTTTATTCTTTTATGGATATCTTTTATGACAGGTCAGTGTCCAGATCAAACCTGGGGACACACAGTGAAGTCATGGAAGAAGAATCAAGGCAAACTCCAGCCAGTTGTCCCAGAGGACCCAGAGTGGGGCCAGCCCAGCTCCAGGAGCTGTTTAGGGAAGGGGGAGCCCCATAAAGGCACTGAGGATCCAAGGGCTCAACCCTTCATCAAGTGATGCTCAGGCCAGGCAACACCACGAGCCCCCCAAGCAAGGGGGCCACCCATCCATCCCAATCCTGCACACCTAAATATTCTGCTTTTCTGCTTCCAGAACCAAACCAGCCCTGTGGCCCAGGAGCCCTGGGAAGAGCAGCCACAGCTTGGGAAGAGAAAAGATGCTCCTCCTGCATGACCAGATCAGCCACTTCTTGCTCCTCACAAAACAATCCCAACCCCTGGTTGTGCAAAATTTCTGGTGCAGAATCTGCAATTCTGGCTAAAGGAAGAAAAACAGAAGCTTTTAACCATAAACCGTTGCCACATTTCCTGTTGTACCGCGACAGGATGAAACGAGCTGGTAACAAAACCACATCTCTGATCTGCACCTCGACCCTGCTGGGCCTTGCAGCTTCCCTGCCTGGAAAACAGGGATGAGCCAGCTCAGCCATCCCTGGGGACCACCTGGCCAGCGGCCACAGGACATCAGGGTGGCAGCCAGAGGAACGGGCACATTCCCAGTGCCACCCTCCTGTGTGACCAGCAGGAAAACCACGGGAAAAGCCCGGAGCTGCCAGGAGGGCTCCACGCCTGCTCCATAGAAATCCTGCTGCACAGCACTGCAGGGCCACAGGTGAAACACCCCAGACTCAGCAGGTGAGGCTTTGCCAGCCCTGTGACACTGCCAGGACAGTCTGGACGCGGCGATTTGGGACATCCACAGCAGCACAGGACTCGCCTGTGCCCTCCCCCTGCCCTCCACAACTCACATCATTGCTCAGCTGTAAGAAATCCCCATTGTAAGGAATGACTGGAGCCTCAGCTGGCACTTGGGCTAATGCTCCACGGGACAAAAGCTGCCCGGGACGAGCTCTGGGAAGGGACAGGACCGTGGTACACAAAGCCCATGGCCCGGGGCTGGGCAGGGTTCACCACCAGGCTGCACTCAGTGCTAGCCAGCACTCAGCTAATGAGCTGGAAACTCCTGCCAGGCTTTTATGGACAACCCAGAGGCCACCGAGATGATGGTGACAGCTCTCAAAAGAGTTCTAAGCCAAGAGAGACAACAAGGAAACCTCCCGTGATGGATATTTCCATTTACAAGGATGCCAGGAGAAACACACCCCACATTCAAAGAGCACTCTCCCTACAGCCTCTCACCTTCTCAAATCAACTCCCAACTTAAAAACCTTTCAAAAGCAGCCAAGGCAGCAGCTCTGCATCACGTTGGGCCCCTGATTTGGGAATAACAGCTCCAGGTGGGACCCAGGAGCTGTCCCACCACTGCCCCACTCCAGGAGCTGCTGTGTGGTCACAGCCTGGAGGATCAGAGCTCTGGAACTGGGGCTTCACCAGCAAACCAGGCACGGGACAGCAGCAGAGGCACAAAGCCTGAGTGTGGTGAACACTCCCTGGAGCCAGGGCCATCATCCCTGCAGCCCCGGGGCCACCATCCCTGCAGCCCCGGGGCCACCATCCCTGCAGCCTCAGAGTCACCATCCCTGCAGCCCCGGGGCCACCATCCCTGCCCCTCGCTCCCTGCCAGTTCTCCTCACCAGCTCTTTGGTTAATGAATTGGAAGAGCAGAGCACTGGGGATGGATCTGTCCCAGCATCACCACATTCTTGGCAGTCTGATCTCGAGGCAGGAGTGGCCAAGTCCTCCCTGGTGTGCTCGGGCACTGCTCCACCACCGTTTCCACCAGCCAGGCAGTGACAGCTCACATTCCCAAACCCACGACCCAAGCTCTCCCTTTGGCTCCTTGTTCAGACTGCAGGAACATTTCAGAGATCTCCTCTGAAGGGATTTTATCATCTGGGCCATCAATCCTCAATTTTTCTGCTTATTAAGGAAATATTTGCCTTAAAACACCAGGAAACAAAGCCTGGAGAAGCACATGTGAGTGTCCCTGGCTGTGGAGCTGCAGTTCAGAGCAGCATCACCTGCA